AGGGAGGGAGGGGAAAGGAAAAGAAAAGAAAAGAAAAACAAACCAAGCAAACCACCATGGACTGCTCAAGCAAAGCCTCAGACAGGTCCTTCAGGAGGGATTTCAGAGGAAAGCATTGTTATCATAAGAGGTGACAGCTCTGTGCATGTTATTGCCCTGAAGACCTTCCAGTGGGACAAGATGTAGAGGTAGAGACAATGATACAGTGATATTGATCCTGCCCCTGTGTGGGCAAGGCTAATATGTATGTTCATGTCTTAGTTTTTAAAAACAGCAACAAACTTTAAAAAGCAAAAAATTTAAAGTTTTTAAGTAGGAAAAGCTTATAGGATAAGGCTATAAAGAGAATGTCCAGCTGTATATTGTGTCTTAAGCTCAGTGTCACTATAAGAGTTAAAAGTTTTTAAAAATTAAAAAGTTTATAAAGGAAAGAGTAAGCAAAGTGTGTTAGCCTACTTTCCTTCACAAAATACCTGAGATAGTGGCTGGGTTTGTGGCTCAGTGGTAGAGCACTTGCCTCACATGTGTGAGGCACTGGGTTCAATTCTTAGCATTGCATATAAATAAATGAATAAAATAAAGGTCCATCAACAATTAAAAAAAAATTTTTTAAAATACTTGAGATAATGAACTTAAAAGTTTATTTTGGCTCATTATTCCATAGGTTGAGTCCATGGTTGGTAGGCCCATTGCTTTAGGGCCTGTGGCAAAGCAGAACATGGTGGGGGGGGCAAGTGGTATAGAAAGCTGCTCACCTCATTGGAAGCTGAGAAACAGAGAGAGAGGAGAGAGAGGAAGGAACCAGTATCCCAATATCCCTTTCAAGATCACTCCCTCAAAGACCTAACTTCATTAAGTCCTATCTCCTAATAGCAGCACAGGCTGCCAGGAGTAGAGTACGTAGACTAAGTCTTTAATACATGGATCTTTGAGGGTCACTTATCCAAACCCTAGCACTAAGATTAATTTATTACTAAAGAAAGAAAAATGTGTTTAGTGTGGCCTAGTTTTATAGTACTATAATGTCCTAAGCCTTCATGTTCCGTCACCACTCACTCCCTGACTCACACAAAGCAAATTCCAGTCCTGCAAATTCCACTCATGATAAGTGCCCTATATAGGTATATCATTTTTAAAATCTCATACCTTTTTAAAAATAGCATTAGGGATCAAACCCAGGGCCACATGCATGCCAAGGTAAGCCCTCTACCACTGAGCTATGCCCCTGTGCCATTATTTTTTACTATGCCTATTCTGTATTTAAGTATGATACTTGCCATTGAGTTGCAGTTGCCTACAGTATTCAATACAGTAGCATGCTGTGTAGGCTTGTAGCCTAGGAGTAGTAGGCTGCATCATATAACCCCGGCATGCAAGAAACTAGACCTGCTAGGTTTACATAAGTATGCTCTATGATGTCCACACAGTGACATAAATGTCTAATGATGGATTTCTCAAAGCAGATCTCCATCTTTAAGTCACTTTTTTCCCCAAAGACATAAACAGGTTTATTTAGGAAGTAGATAAACATGCAAGGGAGAATGTGGGCTGTTGAGAAAGAAAAGCAGCCCTGACTTGGGCCGAGGGTCCTGTATTTACAGAAGGGCTATATCAGGGGCTGGACTGGAGGTGGTGATTGCATCTGTCTGTCCATGAATGAAAATTGAGAATGAGGAATCAGAAATGGAACTGGAGGAGAAGGCCTCTACCTCATTCTGCATGTGAAACCTTCAGGAACAGGAGATGAGTCTGC